CACCACCCTTGTGGTTTAATAATCAAGACTTTAATGGTATGTTGGTGGGAAGTTTCTTGTTACAAAAGGTTTTTGGTCTAGCGGTATGTCAGTTTTTGGCCTCCTAAGAGGTCAGAGGTTCAAACTTCACGAGAGGTGARGAGGGTGTGTGAGTTTATTTGTTATATTTGTCGTATATAAATATTATATACTTCAAAAAAACGTTTCTTGTTTAAAATTCAAAATTTCATTATTATTGTTCAATTTGAACTTACTTGAACTTAAAGACACATGCAACTGGACCGAATATTTCATCCGTTGCAATAAGCATATCATCCTGAAATCATCCGAGACGACAATTGTTATTAATACGAGTAATTTTAAGCRAATTTTGTACTATGAGTCTATGACTTGCGCGTTTAYGTACCGTTACGTCTGTGAAGATTGTTGGCTCGATATAGTATCCCTTTTYCCTGCAAGGTTTTCCACCGGTTAGCAACGTTGCACCTTGTCTTTTTCCATGTTCGATATACGATAGTACTTTCTCGTATTGTCGCTTATCAACCTATAAATAACGTTGTTAGTGTCGTAACAACACGGATTTTTTTTGAAAATAATTCCTATACGATACAAAGTTTCGATTACTTGAGGTCCTTGATGAGTGRTAGGATCGAAGGGATCACCAACGATTATCTCCTTTGCCGCTTTCGCAAACTTGGTTATGAATTCTTCATAGATTCCTTCTTGGACGAAGATCCTCGAGCTACACACGCAAACTTCACCCTGAAACCGAAATTTTGGCTTAACGAACATAAAATCACTAGTCATATCGAACAATAACAAGAAACTTTGAAAGATTAAATAGGTTCGAATACCTTGTTAGTAAAACTGCCCCAAAGAGCAATGTTGACGATTGAATCAACATCCACATCGTCGAAAATTATGAGAGGAGATTTGCCTCCAAGCTCGAGAGAGACTTCTTTCAAATTACTCGTTGCAGCAGCTTGCATKATGAGTCGTCCTACTTCAGTCGACCCCGTGAAGCTCACRCAATCGATATCCATGTGGGAGCTGATGGCAGCTCCGGCTCTCGCTCCAAATCCGGTAATCACATTAATCACCCCATTTGGGACGCCCGCCTGATTGAATGCCATTGCAAGAATATGTAGAACTCCATCAGATTACTCTCCAAATAAATCATTTGTGGTCCGTTCGTTAGCAGCTTAATGAGCTTAATGAGACTCACAACTTATTAATTAGTTAGTTATACATTACTTTTTTGGTAATAACTTAGGGCTTGTTTACTTGAGGCTTAATGAGCTTAGTGGATAAACCGGTTTATTCGCACAGACAAGCAAGGTTGTTTATCTTGGGCTTATTCGCTCAGAAACGGGCTTATTCGCCCAGATGAAAAACCTGTGTTGTCCAGGTTAAGCCAAGGTAAGAGACTTGCCCTACCCTTACACAATAGTCGCGCCTCTCTCAACTCACGTCTCTTCTCCACCGATCCAACACCCTATTGCCGCGCCTCTCTCAACGCAAGACCTTCGATCTCTTCTCCATCGATCGACTGTTGCTCTCTTCTCCATCGGTTGTTTTGGTAATAACTTAATAATATATGAAGTGGCTTATTCACTAAGCTTTTAAGATGAAATTTTAAAATATTATTTCTCTCTCTCTTCTATAGAGTTTTAGATATTTCTCTAAATTTAAATATTTCCACTTTATATTTCTTCCTTTTTCTACTTCAGCATATCATTTAACATAGCTGTTATAGCCAAAATAAAATTCTTAAATCTTTAAAATCGTTATTTTAGCATAGCTGCTGTACATGCTCTAACACACCTCCTCCAATGAAGGCTAGCTTGAACTCACGACTCTGATACCATGTGAGAATATATTGAACATATCATATTACACTCAAAAACAGCTATTTTTGTAAGAAAAAGGGGTTTCAACATATATTGTAATAGAAATAGGTTCCATGTATGACTCTAACGAAACATATCGTCTATTAAGCACGTACCAGTTTAGCTAGATGGGCAAGGTAAAGAGCCGAAAGGGGAGTYTGCTCAGCCGGYTTGATCACCATGGTGCACCCTGCAGCCAACGCCGGGCTGGCTTTGTGAAAGAACATAGTGATAGGAAAGTTCCAYGGGATAATTTGACCARCGACACCGATAGGTTCATGTAACGTGTACCCTTGGAATTGGTTCGCCATTTTCATCGTCTTWCCATGGATTTTATCGGCCGCTCCAGCATAATATCTGATAAATTTCATGATARRKGGATTCAAAAGAGCMCTTGAGAAGATAGAAAWWAGAAGAAATGRTTCAAATCTAACAATAATTACTGAGTATTTGAAAATTATGAGTTTATACCGAAGTAGGCTGGCTGCAAAAGGAATTTCCACGGCCTTCMCCAACTCAAACACCTTTCCTGCATCAATGGYGTCCAATGCTGCTAATTCTTCTCGATTTTCAAGGATTAAATCCACAAATTTCATCATTATCCTTCCTCTCTCCTGTCAACATATATACACACACACA